AACGAGTTATGCACAGTGCACCTTAGCACAAGTTAAGATTCCGTGGTCCCGACTCCACCAAATCGCCGAATCTTTGGCACGCGCACAAACCCTCATGGATAAGACCTATAAATATCCACACGCTCCTCCCCTTTTCATCGTCTCTTCGCCCTTAACGAAAAGGTCTTACGCAGCCTCTAGGGTTTTCTTTAGTTTCGCAGCGGCGCCAAGCCATGACCGGGAAGGCGAAGCCCAAGAAGCACACGGCCAAGGAGATCGCCGCCAAAGTCGACGCTGCCACCACCAACCGAGGCGGGGGCAAGGCCGGCCTGGCCGATCGTTCGGGGCTCGAGAAGGGTGGTCACGCCAAATACGAGTGCCCGCACTGCAAGATCACTGCTCCTGATGTCAAATCTATGCAGATTCATCACGACTCTAAGCATCCCAAGATTCCCTTTGAAGAGTCCAAGCTGGTGAATCGCCATACCAACCATCCCTCTGAGTCCTCCAAACCTCGCCCTGGCGTCAGGGGAAGCTTGAAGAAGTGAAGTTTCTTATTAATATTCTTTTAGTTGGTGATTTGGGTCATTTTGGTTCTGGGATTGGTTTTTTCTCTTTACTTCTGTTGTCTGCAGTTGTTGTGATGGTAGTAACGATAAACAGAGCAAGAAGTGGGTTTGTTCTTAACTTCTTCTAAAGCTCCCTGTTTGATGTATGTTATCCATCTTAGTGTTAACTTAAGATGGAATTGGTGATGTTATAGCATCTTAATTCAACTATTTGTGCAATTATTGGTTAATTGCTCTTTAATTTTGATGAAATATGCTTGTTTCATACCCATGATCTTAGCTTAACTATGGAACTTTGAATACTCCGTAAATCCTTCTTCCATGTTAGCTGTTTGTGTGAGAAATTGTAATTTTGTACTTGTTAACATTTATCATGACACTATTGAAGTCGTGTTGCGTTAAGGTAGTGTGGTTAACTATGCCTGATAATGTGTATTATCGATGTTGAGTTGCTCCCATCTTTTAGTTTAGGATTGCTTCAGTTCAGAATGATAAGAGACAGTGGAGATCATGAGTATGTCAGGTGTGTGGTATTAGCAAGGCCAAGGGATGGAATTGGGGAATTTTCATCTTTTATTTGGTGCTTCTCTTTAATGCCTATGGTTTACTGTAGAATGCTGATATATAACTTCTGAAACTCTGAGCAGTGTGGATGACATAAAATTATTCTCCGGTTCTTTTTCGTAATTTTTTAAGTATAGAAATCTAGTTTTCTTTTTTTTTTTTTGGTAAAATGTGAATTTATTTCCAAAATCTATACAAAGCAGCTCTTTTTAAGGCTGCTACTAATGTTAGTACAAAGAATGAAATAATTTCTAAATTAAAGTATGTTCAAACCTTAGTTGTACATAAAGTTTCTAATCCCCATTGAGCTGCAATTTTCCTTGACATAGGAGAAGACCTTTCCTTTACAGACCTCAGTACTTTGTCTCGGACATCTATTTGAATCATATCAATTATTGCATAAGGAGATCTGTATAGCTGTCTATGTATCCTGCTGTTTCTTTCAATCCATATATGATTTATTGATGCACACCAAGCTAATTTAAGAAGAGAGCTATACAATGCCTTACATTTAACTCTCTTACATAACCAATCCAAAGCATCTTGCCAAATGCAGTTTAATGGGATTTCCAGCATAGAAGAAATCTTTTCCCAAATATGAGTAGTGTAGGGACAGGAGAAGAAGAGATGGTTCCTAGTTTCACTTGCATTCCCACATAGCACATAAGTGTCATCAATGGAAGAAGACCAATTCTTCTGCCTGGATCTGGTAGAGAGTCTATCTAATATAGCCAGCCAAGCAATAAAACTATGTTTGGGGATAGAATTTGAGTACCAAATGAGTCTAAACCAGGGTACCTTAGATCTTTTTTGCCTAAGGAAGTTCCAAGTAGCACCTGTTCGAAAAGAACCTGATGGA